CCATGGGGTTGCTAAGAGTCGGACATGACTGGGCGACTTCACTTTCACTTTTCACTTTCATGCATTGGAGAAGGAAATGGCAACCCACTCCAGTGTTCTTGCCTGGAGAATCCCAGGGACGGAGGAGCCTGGTGGGCTGCCGTCTATGGGGTCGCACAGAGCAGACACGACTGAAGTGACTTAGCAGCAGCAACAGCAGCAATCCAAGTGATTTATGATGGGAGAATGGGGGAAATGGAAGTGGTTGGATTATGGATCTGTACACATATGCATATGCATGTGTATATACCCATGTATATTTTTTAATTCATATTTAAATTTTTGAGTAGTTTCAAACCTACAGAGAAGTTATAAGAACTGTACAAAGAATTGTTGCATGCCTTTTACACATATTCCCTAATTGTTCAATTTTGTTGTATTGGCCCCATTTCTTTCTTTAGAGAGAGAAGAAGACAGAAAGCTGTGTTTAGATCATTACTCTTAGATACTGCTGGTTTACCCTCTCCTCCCCCAAACAAGGATACTCTCTTATATCAACAACTACCATATACTCCTTCCAGTCAGGAAATGAACAAGGGTACAGCATTACCCCTCCAGGTCACAGATACCATTCAAATGTTGCCATATGTCTTAATAATGTTCCTGTTCCCTTTCCAGTCTGGGATCCTACCTACAAACCCACATTACTTTTACTTGTCATGTCTCCTGGAACAATTCCTTAGTCTTTCCCTGTTTCTGTATCTTGACAGTGTTAGAGTGCATATCTTTTGTTGTGTAAGGTGACTCTAAACCTGGGTCTGTCCACTGTTTCCTCATGACCAGAATCAGGCCTTGAGTCCATGGCAGGAATGTGGCAGGAATGCCGGGGACATGATGCTCTGTTCTCAGTGCATTGCATTTGGAGGCACACCACGTTGACCTCTCCCAAGGTGATGTTCACTATGATCACATGGTCACGTTAGTATCTGCCAGATTTCTACACCGTAGTGTCACTATTTCTCCTTTTACATTTGAATAGTATTTGGGGAGAGCTAGTTGGACATGCCACCAATATGCTATTCCTTATTAAGCCTTCACACACTAGCCCTGGCCTCCATTGATAATGCCAGTCTATATCAATTACCGCTCTAATGCCAAAGGGTGATTATCTCTAGACATTATGTCTACATTAATTAATTGACATTATACTGTAAGAACCATGAACTTCCAGATGTTCAAGCTGGGTTTAGAAAAGGCAGAGGGACCAGAGATCAAATTGCCAACATCTGTCAGATCATCAAAAACATAAAAAAGAGTTCCAGAAAAACATCTACTTTTGCTTTATTGACTATGTCAAAGCCTTTGTGTGGATCACAACAAACTGTGGAAAACTCTTAAAGAGATGAGAATACCAGATCACCTGACCTGCCTCCTGAGAAATCTGTATGCAGGTCAAGAAGCAACTGTTAGAACTGGACATGGAACAATAGACTGGTTCCAAATCGGGAAAGGAGTACGTCAAGGCTGTATATTGTCACCCTGCTTGTTTGACTTATATGCAGAGTGCATCATGCAAAATGCTGGGCTGGATGAAGCACAAGCTGGAATCAGGATTGCCGGGAGAAATATCAATAACCTCAGATATGCAGATGACACCACCCTTATGGCAGAAAGCAAAGAGGAACTGAAGAGCCTCTTGATGAAAGTGAAAGAGGAGAGTACAAAAGCTGGCTTAAAACTCAACATTTAGAAAGCTAAGATCATGGCATCTGGTCCCATCACTTCATGGCAAATAGATGGGGAAACAGTGAGAGACTTTATTTTTGGGGGCTTCAAAATCACTGCAGAAGGTGACTGCAGTCATTAAATTAAAAGACGTTTGCTCCTTGGAAGAAAAACTATGAACAACCTAGACAGCATACTAAAAAGCAGAGACATTACTTTGCCGACAAAGGTCTGTCTAGTCAAAGCTGTGGTTTTTCCAGTAGTCATGTATAGATGTGAGAGTTGGACTATAAAGAAAGCTGAGTGCTGAAGAATTGATGCTTTTGAACTGTGGTGTTGGAGAAGACTCTTGAGAGTCCCTTGGATTGCACGGAGATCCAACCAGTCCATCCTAAAGGAGATCAGCCCTGGGTGTTCATTGGAAGGGCTGATGCTGAAGCTGAAACTCCAATACTTTGGCCACCTCATGCAAAGAGTTGACTCATTGGAAAAGACCCTGATGCTGGGAGGGATTGAAGGCAGGAGAAGAAGGGAATGACAGTGGATGAGATGGTTGGTTGGCATCACTGACTTGATGGATATGAGTTTGAGTAAGCTCTGGGAGTTGGTGATGGACAGGGAAGCCTGGCGTGCTGCGGTCCAGGGGGTCGCAAGGAGTCAGACACGACTGAGTGACTGAACTGAAGTGAACTGAACTGATACTGTAAGAAAGCTTTCTCTTTTTATTTCATTGTGGGCTCACTAATTGCTATTTGACTTAATGGGTTGTAATCTGGCTTTATTTTGAGGCTCAGATTTTCCCAGAATTGACCAGTAGGGGTTTATTTGTTAAATGAAAGAATTGTAAATAGGAGAAAATAAAAAGACACAAAAAAAGAGTCCGTTCATATCAGCTTCTTTGTTCTTTTGACATGTTCTCATCATTCTCCAAGAATTTCCTTATTTTCTGGTACAACGAAATTTTCCCAGGCCTCTTTTGCATGCCCCTGTCTAAACCCTGGAATCAGCTATTACTCTAAGTAGTCCTTTGGTGGACCTTTATTTTGTAGAGGATCGTATTTAGTATCCAAGATCTGGAAACAGGATTTTTAAATACTGATGGGCTGTCATCGCTTCTTGGACCTATTAGCAGACAGAGCTAAGAAATACATGTATATATATATGTGTATGTGTATGTACACACTTATACAAACATCTGTAATTCTTTCTGTGTATTTTAAAAAATGTGCCCATATTAATGCTTCTAATACCAGTCCAACATCCTAGGATTCTTTTATTCTCTTCCCTTTTCACGTTTGTAAGTCCTTTTTCAAACAGTGAGGAACCTAGCTCCAATTATCTTAAATATATTTAATCATTTGCTTTATCAAATAGCACATTTTTTTGGTATTCTCTCCTAACCACTTGGGCTGTTTTTTACATCTACTGCTCTGTGCTTCCTCCCACTGCCCCATTTTCTTGGCAGCTGAGGCATGCCTACACCTCCACTAGGCAGCCCCCTCTCTGGCATCATCCTATTTCCTTGGGTGTCAGGCACATTTTCACAGATGATGACGCAAAAAACCCCACCACCCTCCTTGACATCTCTCTGTTCAGAAGAGCAGGGGAAGAAAGGAAAGATGGAAAGAGTAGGAAGGATGGAAAAGAAAGGTAAGAAGCCAGATTACTAATACATATTTTGAAGACAGAGCTGACAGGATTTACTGGTAGACTGAATACAGAGAATGAGGAAGAGAAATAAACAATGACTCTTAAGGTTTTTGACCTGAGCTGCTGGGGTAATTGGATTGTCATTAACTGAGATAAAGACAAAGCCCTGGGAGGTTTGATGAAGGATGATCTGAAGCTCAGTTTTGGCTGTGTTAAGTTTGAGATGCCTTTTAGGTGTCCAAGAGGAGATGGCGAGTACTTTGTTTATACATCTTGAGGTGTAGATTGGAAGTGTTTATTTAGGAATCCTTGGCATGTCCATGCCATTTAAAGCCATGAGCTCAGCTGAAATCACAAAGGGAGTAGAACAGAGAAAAGTTTGCACTAAGCCCAGGGACAGTGTCATATTAAGAAGATGAGGAAGAACCAGCAAGATAGGACCAACCAGTGAGGCGGGAAGAAAACCAGGTAAGGATGATAATTTGAAACCAAGGAGGAAAATGCTTCAATTAATATGAAAGGATCAACTGTTTCCAAGCTGTTGAGAGTAGGATGAGGACCATGAATTTACTATTCAGTTTAGCAAAGGAGAGGTCATTGGTGACATGAATAACTGATGTGTATGCATGTGTGTGTGGGAGGGGAGCTTGGTTAGAATAGGTTCAAGAAGGAAAGGGAGGAGAGAAACGAGAGGCAGCAGATGAAGTCTTTGAAGGAGTTTTAGCCTGTGTATGAGGTACACAGTCACAGTTTTCTGCTTATATGGGTTTTTGTTTTGTTTTGCTCCACAACTGAGTTAAGGTAGGCCTTTTCTGAGAGTTATATGAATAACCTTTCATTATCACTGCACACAACATATTTTGCTATGTAATATTTTGTTTTACGTTGGTGAAATGTTTCTGCCATTGGCTGAGTCAAGGATAGACTGGTGGTGCAATTCCTATATGTGTGAAGTAAGGAAATCACCAGAGCAAATTTCAGTGGCATGATGGTAGGGAGTACAGAGCCCAGCTTAGACTGCAAACTCTTCAAAGTACTTGAAGTTCTTAAGATGTTAGAGAAAATAGATACTTTACAGATTGTACAGTAATCAGCCTTGTTTGGCCTTATCAGCATCTTGACCTTCTGTGTTCGTGTTTCTTGGTTTATAATGCAGTCTCATTAGGAAATTGGAACATTGTTAGATTTGCTGAAATAAATTCAGTGATTTAGATAAGTTCTTTATTGTTAGGATAGAAAATGGGTTGTACTTTTAATTTAAGGCATGGATGGTAAATACCTGATACATGTGCTGTCATATTCCTGTCCTGTCATCACTGCTGATCAACTGTGTCACCTTTTCTGTGCTGAGTCCAGGTGAAACCTCAGAATTTGTGTTGTTAATGTTCCAGAAAATCACTATCAACTAGTCCAACATGACATGGCAGGACATTTTTTAATCCTTAGTATAATGGTTTACTTCAAAAGATAAAAAGTATGTGGAAAATAATACATAGGTTAGAAATCAGCTTTGCACCGGTTGTTATTCACACTGCTAGAAAGTCTCATGAGAAACTCTAATAGAGTTGGCATAAGGACACAGCACTTATTCTCTAGTCGAAACGCTGAATTAACAGGAAATAACTATTGTTTTCTTTTGTTTCAAGATTCTGCCCTGTTTGCTGAACTTGGCTATCTCACAGACACTGATGACCTGCAATTGGATGCAGCAAATGAAACTTATGTAAGTATTTATTAGGGGAGAAATACTGAGTAATGTGATATTTAATCTTTAACTGTTGCGAGAAGATTTCAGAATAACACCTTTAGGCTGGTTATTTAAGTTTAAATAACTTTTAGGGTTAAAAATGAAAGCTGGTTGCCATTTTGTTGTCAGTGAATGTACGGTTGTAGAAATTGCTTTGGTCTTGGTATGTAGAAGACATGTATTCTAAGTCTGCCTTTGGTCCCACCTTGGAGAAGTTACTTAACTCCCTCCCTCTTGGTTTTTACACATATTTTGCTGCAAAGGGAAACAGTGTGATGTTAAGGGATATATGTGAGTCCTGGATTAGTTGAGAGAACTTACCGGGCATCCCAGGTAGCTCAGTGGTAAAGAATCTGCCCGCCAATGCAGCAGACACGGGTTTGATCCCTGGTCTGGGAGGGTCCCACATGCCACGGAGCAGCTAAGCCCAAGTACCGCATCCACTGAGCCTGTGCTCCAGGGCCCAGGAGCTGCAGCCGCGGACCCCACATGCCACAGTCGCTGAGCCCGTGGGCTCTGGAGCCCATGCTCTGAGACAGGAGAAGCCACGGCAGTGAGAAGTCTGCACACTTCAGCTCGAGAATGTCTCCCTCTCGCCATAGCTAGAGAAAAGCAACCAAGATCCAGCACAGCACCCCCCACCCAAAAAAGTAATAAATTATAAAACTTTCTTTTTTAAAAAAAAGAGAACTGCCAACTTCCTTTTTTAAAGTTACATATCCTTAGTGTTGAAAGCTCTGAAACTTAGAAATGTCCTTACTTTTTTCTTTTGAGCAGTTAGAAGTATGCATAAAAGTTGTTATAGCACTTTGAGTCCTCAAAAGTAGCTTAGATTTTTTTTTTCTTTTTTCCTTTTCTGGGTTAGTATATGTGAAGCTGTTTGGCCTGAACTTTGTTTTCTTCTTTATCGGATGAAGTGCTGTTTGACTTGGGAAGTAGTTCAAGTGAACAGAGTGATTTTATATGCACATCAATCAGGTTGACTATTTATCACTTATTTTTTAAGCAGTTATTAAAAGTAAAGCTTGCTAGGTGAGTTTGACATTTCTCAAAGAATAATTTAACAGTTGTTTTACCATGAATCAATAGAGAGTGGAACACATGATTTTTTTTAAAATCAATTCATGAGATTTTTTGTTGTTGTTGTCTTAAACAATAGTCTTTATGTTTACACAAAGTAGTACAAAATGAGGCAGTTCCTCAAAGGGTGGCTTGGAGCTAGAAAACCCATCCTAAGTGTGAAAGTGTTAGTATTTGTTGGTAAGTTGTGGTCAACTCCTTGCGACCCCATGGACTGTAGCCTGCTCAGGCTCCTCTGTCCATAGGATTTCCCAGGCAAGAATACTGGGGGTGTGAAGGGTGTTTAGTTGCTAAGTTGTGTCCGACTCTTCCAGCCCCATGGACTATAGCCTACCAGGCTCCTCTGTCCATGGGATTCTCCAGGCAAGAATAGCAAAGTGAGTCGCCATTTCCTTCGCCAGGGGATCTTCCCCACCCAGGAATCGAACCTGGGTCTCCTGCTACGAGGGAAGCCCATGCTGGAGTGGGTTGCTAACTCCTTCTCCAAATGCATGAGATTTTTAATGGTTTCATTTACTCTATGAGATGCTTTATAATGTTGTCTATAATTAAGTTGGTTTTTAATATTGACTGGTTGTTTAAGCAGCTGATGTTTTTTTCATAACCTCCAGAGCCTAGTCTTCAAGAAACAATATATTATATTTGAAAGATTCAGGGAAATATGATTCTGATTTTATAACTAACATTCTGTTACCTCAAAGAAGTCATTTCACTCTTTCAGTTCCTTAGTTTTTCTAATATAAAATAAGAGATTGGATTAAATCATCTTAGAGGGCCCTTTATAGTTTTATAACTCTCATTCCTCTACATGGCAGTACAGTTTCCCTTGAGAAGTTGAAGAAGCAGAGTATATAAGTATCAGCATGTTTGCCTGGAAAATCCCATGGACGGAGGAGCCTGGTGGGCTGCGGTCCATGGGGTCACGAAGAGTCGGACACGACTGAGCGACTTCACTTTCACTTTTCACTTTCATGCATTGGAGAAGGAAATGGCAACCCACTCCAGTGTTCTTGCCTGGAGAATCCCAGGGACGGGGGAGCCTGGTGGGCTGCCGTCTATGGGGTCGCACAGAGCAGACACGACTGAAGTGACTTAGCAGCAGCAGCAGCACGTTTTGCTTTATAATAAAATGGGCCTGTGACATTTACAACCAGATAAAATTCTTATGCTGTAAAAGGTATTTGACTTTTTTGGCTGAAGATTGAGTATGAAGCATCCCTGAAGTAGGTCATGCCACTATTGAGCATGTTACAAAGGATTGCTAGTAGTCAGGCAAATATTGCTCAATTTTCTTGGACTATGAAAGTTTAAAGGTTTTTCATTGCTGAAAGTATGAATCTATGTATAGATTCAAATATGAGGAAAAAAGCAAAGGAGATTGATTTAAAAGTTGTTTCTTTTATAATTTAAGTAGTTTTTTCTTTTTTATGTGTGCACTTCCACGTATTCTCTTAAGTAGCTTGCACTAATATTTTCTCAGTTTAGGGCAGTATGATAAGAAAAGTTTCCCTTCCTCTGTTACATTATCAATAAAGAATAAACCAAATAATAGACATTTGAAAGAATAATATTTTAGAAATTATTACCAGTGATTGTTAATAATTACTAGATTAAACTTTCATTTTTGCCTGAGGGTTACTTTCTTTTTTGTTGCTGTTTTATTATTTGTCACATTAAGTTAATACTGACTACCTTTTGACTTGTACTGTTTATATATTAAGTTTCCTTCTGTTCTTATCTCTGTGACTTCAGACATTTAAAATAGTAGTGATACTGTCTTAAGTGATAAGAGGGTTCTGAAATCATGTGGTAGTTCTTTATTAATGTATACGGTAGAAAATGGTTATGACCCAGAATACACTTACATTTACATTTAAAAAAATTGTCACCTAAATGAAAAGAAACTAAGAGCCCCTCTAAAAGGTTTATTGACCCCTATTTGAGAAACTTGGTTTTATCTTCTAGGATTAAAAAAAATTTAGAAAATTGAAAACTATAGACCAGTAAAAAAGATAAAATTGCCCATCCTCATATGGATCTCTTCCTTCCCGCATAACCATTTTAATATTTGGTATATTTGAAGGTTCAGTTAGTCTCTTTATGATTCCTGAATGTCCTTTGGATACATCTGTATTCTTTCCATTGCATATAGAGATGATTTTATAAATAGGCATTTGCTTTGACTTTTTTTCCTTAGTGACAGTGGGAAAACTTATTATACCGGATCTCCTTTATGACAAAACACATGCTTTGTGTTAATATTTTGTGACTCTTGTAATAGTCTCTTTTCATGGAAAAGAATGAGACCAACTAACTTTCAGATAGGTGTTGCCTCCATTACCTCCTTCCTAGTTGTTACTGCTGTGCTTAAAGTAACTAAATTCTAAGATATATTCTCAAGATGAATTGATTAACTTAGAAAATTATTTTTACTAATTTGGGTAATAGCAGTTATTTTTGGCAAGTTGTTTCTGTTAGTTTGGTTTCTGGATGTATATATTTTAATCTGATATTCTTTTGCTGATTTGAAATCTACAGGAAAGTAATTTTGATAATCTTGATTTTGACTTGGATTTGATGCCTTGGGAGACAGGCATTTGGGATGTCAACAATCAGTTCTGTACAGGTAATGATGTATTTCATTGATAAAAACTTTAAATGGATCCATATTATTTTATGGTTTGGTAATAGTCAAAATTAGGGGGGGTTATTGGAATACTTTTATTTGTTAAAAAATTCCAGGGACTACATTCTACTTCTGGTATGGCCGAGCATACATAAATTTCTTGCCAAAATAGAGTTTCAGAGTTATGGCAGAGTCATATAATGAATGAAAATTTTATAATTCATAAATATCGATTTTGAATTATATGTAATACTCTGTAAGAGATTAACCTATCTGAGAATTAAACAGGATTTAGTGAATCAAAGGGAAGAGACTTGTGATTATCAGAACCTAGGAACTTAGTGTAGCTGCCCCATGTATACACTTCTGAGGAGGAGACACTACCTGGATAATGCCAGTATCTTCAAGGGGCCCAGTGAACTGGGTTTTGGGTGTGCTGAAAAAAACTAGAACCTAAAGCAAACTGTCCCTTCTGGGATAAAGCTGATGGAAGGATGAAAAAAAAATCCCTTCTCCCCTATTCTACCTTAAGAAACATCCTTCTAGAATCCCCTACTGACAGGACCTAAAAGGAAGCCAGCTGGGACTTGTATTAATTTTGATCGCAGACTATAGGAGGTGAACTTGGAGCTGAGAAACAGTGAGTAATTAACCAGCACATTTTCCCCATCTAAGTTACAGTCCTCCCCCTCTGTTGCAATTCCTGTTCCCCTTCATTTTATATATTAGTATATCCTGCTCAGTTCCTTTCTTTCCTTGTAGAACATGGACTACACAAGGTCAGCGTTCTCATTACTGTTGTGTAACAAACTTCTCTAAAACTTAGTCGCTTAAAACAGCGGCCATTATAAGGCTCCCAGAATCTGTGGGTTAGGAATTTGGACAGGATGCTTCAGGAATTTCTTGTCTCTGCTCCATGGCGTACAAACATCATTTGGGAAGATTTGCAGATTAGGGCAGCTCGACGTGTGGGGGCTCGAACTGCCTTAAGGTTTCTTCGCTCACATGTCTGATGCCTGATCTGAAATGATTTGAAGCCTTGAACTGCCAGTGAGAGTGCTACCCATCATCTTTCTAAATGTCCTGGCTTCCTCAAAACCTGGCAGTCTTGTGGTGATCAAAATTCAAAGGCTCAAATGTGAGTCTTTCAGCTACCTAATGTAACCCAGACTTGGGATTCACATATCATTACTTCCATACTCTATTGATTCAGGAAGCCATAAGCTCACCTAGATTCAAATAGAAGAGAATATAGTCACTACTTCTTGATGGGGAAGTGGTAGGATCACAGTACAGATCATGAGACATGGTAGGTATTTTACTGCTAATTTTGGAGAACACAGTCTGGCACAGATTCTTCTCTCCCTCCTTCCTACCCTGTTAGAAATTTGACACCGAGAAACACTGCCTGGGCTGAAGTTGATCAACACCATTTTAAAAAATAGTTCAAAAGATAGAAACATTTTTGTATTGTATTGTCAAAAATGCTTTCCACAAAAATTCTTTCCTGTTTCTTATGTTTTAAAATTATTTTGGGGGAAAATCTATAATATTTTGCATATGGCATAATATTCAAAAGATACAAAAAGTCTATAGAGTAGAAAAATGTCTCCTTTGGCTTTTGTCCCTCGGCCAGCAAGTTCTGCTTCCTGGAGACAAGCACTGTGACCAATTTCTTAAGTTTATCTTTCAAGAGAATTAGTGCAGATGTTAGTAGTAGTGTGCGCATATGTATTTATATGTATACATTAGGGTCGCAAAGAGTCTGACATGACTGAGCGACTGAACTGACTGATACACATATATACATACATATAAATTTATTACACAGATGGAAGCATATTGGATATACTATTTTCTGCATTTTGAATTTTCAGGTGATGATATATTTTGGTGACCTTAGCTTCTATATCACTGAATTTTGAGAATGGATTTAACCTTCTTTCTTATTCATTTTATTCTGAGTTTATATTGTCCAGTGGGAAAATGTTTGCCTGTTTTCCAGTTAAAGGTATTAAGACAGAACCTCAGTCACTTTCACCAGCCTCGTCGAGGTGTTCAATCCCATCTCCTCAATCGCTGGACTCTAACTCGTCAACTCAGCATGTGCCTGTAAGTCACTGGTCTTTTAACAATGATTTTGGTTATAGTGGAATCTGGGAAATATGTGTATGGGGAAGGAAGTTAACTTTTATTAAGTGCTAATATAAATCTTACCTCTTTTAATCCTGAGGAAGGACCTTGAGGGAGTTAGAAAGTTGTTAGCCTCTTTGATTTTGCCATCCTCCCCTTATGTTCTTGTCTTTATAATTTTGTTGTTTCATTTGTTTCATTGTGCTCTACCAGCATCCAGTATTTGTTTGTTTATTGAGCTTACTGTCTTTTCTCTGTGCTATACTCTTTCCTCCCTATTAGGGTATATGTTCTTTGAGGACATGGTCTGTTTGTGTGACTCCTTAGCCATAAAACCTAGAATGTCTCCTTAGTTCAGAAATGCCTAGTACTATCTTTTGAATGAGTTAGTAAGGGTTTTTACAAAACCTTAAAAATGCTTCCACTCTTCATCTAGGAAAAAACTGTTCAGGGCAGGAAAAGAAAATACCAAAGGACTCAGGCATTTTTTGGAATGGAGAAAGGAAAAAATATAAGAAGAAAAATTTAAAGTAGTGTTTCAGTATATTATATCTGATGTAAATTGAGGTATCTTCATTCTGGCTTGATTTACATGTAGTCAGTTACTAAATCCTGATGGATTTTATCCGCTTACTATCTCTAGGATTCATCTTGTCCACCCTGCCAGACTATCATCACCTCTTCTGGTTTAAGGCAATAGAATTTTAACTGGTCTGCCTCCTAATTCCCCAGACCTTTCTTAGCAGAGGAATCTTCAAAGAGAAATCTTTAAAAATCACAGGTTTGATTGTGTCAGTTTTTTGCTTAAAACCTTCCTAACCATTACAAGGACAAAATTCAAATTGCTGGTATATTAGGCACTCCATGATCTGGCCCCTGCTTACCTTTCAGTCTTGTTTCTCACTATCCTTCCTATTCCTACCTTCTCACTCCTCTTAGCTTTAACTCCAAGAGCTGCCGTGTGCTCCAGTCTTTGAACAACTGCGCCAGGAGCTCTGTGAAAACCGCTGGTGAAAACGAGCAGTGAGACCTCTGCTTCTATCATTTTAGATTTTTGTGCATGCTCTTCCTTCCAGCTGAAATAGCCTTTTTTTTTCCCTTCCCTTGGAAGAAGGTAGCATGTTACATCCCTGTTCTTCACTTTGTTTATTTAACTTAGTGGTATATATCCTGGAGGTAACTACAGTTTCAGGTTATAGATTCTTTCCCATTCCTTTTTATGGCTTTATAGTGTTCTGTTGTGTGGTTATATCATACTTCATTCAATGATTTCTGTATTGATGGACATATGTGTTGTTTTCAGTCTTTTCTGAACTCAAACAATGTTGTAATAAATAACTATATACATAAGACACTTCATATTTTTGCCAGGATATCTTGGGGATATACTCCTAAAGAGAGACTGCTGAGATCAAGGTGATTTTTAATGTTACTGTTTATTGCCAAATTTCCCTCCAAGGGTTGTACAGTTGTGTATTCTGACCAGGCAGTATGTAAGAGGGCCAGTTTTCCCTTTATTGCTACACAGTGTTAGCATGTTTTATTTTCTATTCTTTTATTATGAGTATGGTTGGACATCTTTTGGTATATTTCATATGTATAATGCCTATTTGCATTTCTTTCTATGAACTGTCAAATTTTTGCCCATTTTTCTGTTGGATTGTATTGGTCTTTTTCTGTTCAATTTTTAAAGTATTTTATTACATATTAGAATTATTAGTGCTTAGGTTGTGAAATAAGTTACAAGTGTTTTCTTCTCTAATTTGTCACTTTCTTTACTCTTTATTTCTGGTATTTACTTTCTCTAGGGATACTTTTCTCCATAGCTGAATGACCAATCTTTTGTTGCTTTTGTTGTTGTTGTTACTCAGAGGAGGATTGTAACTGCTCAGAAGTTATAATAATTTTATTTTTGTCTTCTTGCATGTGTGTATATATGTGTATATAGATAGATAGATGTATGTGTATATAGATAGATAGATGTATGTGTATATAGATAGATAGACAGACAGACAGAGAGAGTTTGGAAAAACCTCAAACTTACATAAATGTTACAAGTACATTACAAAGAACTTTTTTACCCTGAATCATTTGAGAGTAAGTTGCCAACCTGATGCCTTGTCACCCCTAGATACTCTGGTGTCTACTTCCTACAAGTAAGGATATGTCTTCTAGTCATAATACAGCTATTAAAATCAGGAAATAAATGTTTATACCTTACTGTCATCTGATCTTCAGCTCTCATTTAGATTGTGCCAGTTGTTCTAGAGATATCCTGTAGAGAGCAAAAGGAGCTAGTTTAGAATCATGCATTGCATTTGGTTGTCCTGTCTCTTTAATCTCCTTCAGTTGAAACAGTTCATTCTTCCTTGACTTTCATGACTTGCCACTTTTGGCGACTAAAGACTAGTTATTTTATAGAATGTCCTTTGGTTGGGTTTGTCTGATGTTTCTTCAGGGTGAGGTTTACTTCGTTAATTTGATTAAGGTGGTATCTTCCAGGCTATTCCACTGTGAAGTTGCCCATCTCCCTTTGCCATAAATAGGTATTTTATGAGAAGGTACTTTAATGTTCACTTGATGAAAGTGAAAGAGGAGAGTGAAAAAGTTGGCTTAAAGCTCAGCATTCAGAAAACTAAGATCATGGCATCTGGTCCCATCCCTTCATGGGAAATAGATGGGGAGACAGTGGAAGCAGTGTCAGACTTTATTTTTCTGGGCTCCAAAATCACTGCAGATGGTGACTGCAGCCATGAAATTAAAAGACGCTTACTCCTTGGAAGGAAAGTTATGACCAACCTAGATAGCATATTAAAAAGCAGAGACATTACTTTGCCAGGAAAGGTCCATCTAGTCAAGACTATGGTTTTTCCAGGGGTCATGTATGGATGTGAGAGTTGGACTGTGAAGAAAGCTGAGTGCCGAAAAATTGATGCTTTTGAACTGTGGTGTTGGAGAAGACTCGAGAGTCCCTTGGACTGCAAGGAGAGTCCATCCTAAAGGAGATCAGTCCTGGGTGTTCATTGGAAGGACTGATGCTGAAGCTGAAACTCCAGTACTTTGGCCACCTCATGCAAAGAGTTGACTCACTGGAAAAGACCCTGATGCTGGGAGGGATTGGGGGCAGGAGGAGAAGGGGACGACAGAGGATGAGATGGCTGGATGGCATCACCGACTCTATGGACATGAGTTTGAGTAAACTGCGGGAGTTGGTGATGGACAGGAAGGCCTGGTGTGCTGCGATTCATGGGGTCGCAATGAGTTGAACACAACTGAGCGACAGAACTGACTGACTGATTGACTTTAAAACTATGTAAAAATATCCTGTTTCTCATCAGACTTTAAATTTATTCATTTCTTTGTTTATATCAGTATGGACTCATGGTTTCCTAGTCTATACAACAGATTATAACTCATTATTTTATTATTCTGATTGTTACGTTGTCCTGGATTTTGCCAGTGCAGGTCCCTTCACACTGACTCCTGTGCTCTGGGCTTTGACACCCTTCCTCAGGCTGATGCAGTATGGATACAATTACTACCTTACTCTGTCTGACTCCCTGGGCTTGGCTGCCTGCCCCTACTCCTTCCCCTTGGACTCTGACACTCCGCAGGCTGCCTCTCTGCCTCCGTGCTTGTCTTGTAGTGCCCCATCTAGTGGCTTCAGGATCAAATTATTCAGGAAGTAATAGTTTCTCAGTGACTTGTTAATATATATATTTCCTAAGGTTTTAGTTTTAATTTTCAAATCTTTGATCCATTTGGAGTTATCCTGGTTTATGATGTAGGATACAAATCCAAGTTTTTTGTTTTCCTAGATGACTATCAGAAGGGCTATTCCAGTACCATTTATTAAAGTTCAGTTTTTTTCTCACTGATTTCAGTTTTGTGTATGTATTTTAAATTTATGTAAACAGTAAATTATATCAAATCTCTTTATTTCTTACTTTAAAAAATTATCACAGTGTTTTTAAGATCAATTCATACTGCTCTGTCTACATCAATTTGTTGAATGTAACTGCATAACACTTCACCTGCATCACAATGAACATGGTCAAAGATGTCCCCTTGTAGGCCTAAGAGTTGACCTTAATATGAAGTGTTAAGGACAAATCTAGTTTTAATTTTCACTGTATAAATGAACCAATTTTCCCAGTTGTATTGCTTTTGTAATCATCTTGTTAAAGAATATTATATGTTTTTCTGTTACTAAGGTTTTCTTTTTTGTGTCTCAGTTAAGCTTTATCATTTTCTTCATATAGATCTTGTACATTCTTTAGAAAATTAATTCCTAGGTATATTGTAATTACTATTACTATTATGAATGAACTATTTTTATTATATTTTCTAAGTGATTACTAGTACATTTTTATGGTGAAAAATTTTTTTGTTGGTTCTTAAATGCGTTCTAAGTAGACAGCATATCATCTTGCAAAACAAAGGCACTTCTGTCTCTTCTATTTTAATATTTGTTCCTTTTATTTTAGTTTCTGATATAACTATGTTTTCCAGAATTACAGAAAAAGCAATTATTTTTTTCTTGTCCCAACTTTAATGGCAGAGTATTAGTATTTTACCGTTAAGTATGACTTTGGCTATCCAATTATGCCTAGCTTTTTTTTTTTTTAAGTGTTAAATCATCCTTCCAGTTCTTATTTTCTAGGACTTGTGTGAAGAAGCTTTGCAGAGTTTTGTTAAATGCCTTTTAAGCATCTAAGGCCATAAAGATAGTCATTTCCTCCTATATTATCTCTTACTGTTTTTTATTATTCTGTACTCTGTGTTATTATATATATTATATGCTCTGTATTATTCTATACTCTGTAAGGTTCATGCAGTCCTGCGTTTTGGCTACGTGACAATAGGTGTTAGGGATGGATGAATGAAACAGCTCTCATCCTCACCAGCATGACTGAGAGTGACCATTTCTGCCATATGCTCTTTCAGGTTATTTTAACTTTTTGTATCTGATGATTAAAAAAAAAGATTTTCTTTTAAATTTGCCTTTGGCTACCATTTGCATTTCCTTTTCAGTGAAATGATGACTCCTGTCCTTTGTTCATTTTAGGCAAATATTTTCTCTTAATATATATCTTTTAACTTTGTTTATGGCCTATTTTTTATTATAAAATAGTTATTGTTCAAACCTGTTTTTTCTTCCTTTTTGGCTTCTGGATTTTCTTTGACTTAAGGGGGCCTACATCCTAAGAGCAAACAAGTATTCTTTTAACTCTTCTTTCAGTGATCTTGTATATTCTTTTGAAGATGATATGATGTATGTATGTATAGGTATATGCCTATTTATTATATAACATCTTTCTCTCTTGGAATTGAAATTCTACTTTATGCTATGTTTCTTTATTTTAAGTTTCTTTATTTTAGCAAAATTAGATCCACTGAATATTGAATTTTGGAAAATATTAATATTTGTATATCTCTACATTATTAATTTACCCACTAAATATATAGCCCTGTTCCTTTCAGGATTTTTCTTTCAAACATTAGGGACAAAGGTAGTGTTAATAAGTAGAAAAGGATGAAAATAGTAAGAATTATTTGCTTCTGAAATTCCTATAAGTCTGAATAAGAGATGGTGGGGAAAAGATATTAGCATTTTAACTGTAATTCTATAATGATGCTAAATGTTTGTATGGCTAGGAATCAAATAAAATATAAAGTTTGTGGTAGAAAATGTAGAAGCAGATTGAATCAGTGATTGTATCTTTAGTGTAAGAGGGTTTAGTAGACATACTTCATTTTTAGTTTTTTTTACTTTAGTAATGATGGATAATGTTGATTTATCCATTGTCTCTTAGTGCTTACTGCATAGATATAGTTGTAATATATCACACCTTTGACTTGAAATTGTCTTGAAGTGTTTCTCTTTCTAAGCCATTTTCTACTCAAGGATAATATTCTTCTGCATGAATTTATTTGTGTTTTATTTTACTGCAGGAGGAGTTGGATTTGTCTTCTACTTCTCAGATGTCTCCTCTTTCCTTATATGGTGAAAGCTCTAATAACCCCTCCTCAGCAGAGCCACTGAAGGAAGACAAGCCCATCATTGGTCCTAAGAGCAAAACTGGTATTACTCTGTCTCCTAACTTCTGTTATTTCTATTGTAGACTGAGAGTAAGCGCCATATCTTAGAAGAAAATGTTGGATTAAGTGTATGTTTATTAAGCTAGCTTGCTGTTTTTAAACTAGTGGACCTATATCCTTTGTTGTGAACGTTAATGTGAAGAGGAAAGGGAAGAAATGATCTTCTTTGGTTGTCTCTGTCTTTATAGGTGAATGATGCTCTAAAATAGATTTAGAGCCCCATCATCTTCAGGAGAAATTTCAAAGTTTCACCTAAAGAAGTTGAATGTGAGGCCCATTTGGCTGTGACATTTGTTAACCTCATTTACCTCAATGCTCTATTCAGTGATTTTAGCTGTTTTTCTTTGGTGGTTCCCGTGTCCCCTTCACAAAGCTATAGCTTGGTCAGAAAGGAAGACCTCAGATTGAGGACTCTTCTTCAGTGCACTAAGATAAAATTCTGTTCTTCAGTGCATTAAGCTATGCTTAAACTTCAGTTAAGGGTAGTCAGAGGTCAAGATGATGTGTAGAGAAAGGTGTATAATAGAATCTGCTTTCTAGGATTTGCTTAATTGCACTTAAATTATTTGTGGTTTGTTTGGTTTTTCTCCAGAAAACGGACTGACTCCAAAGAAAAAAATTCAAATAAATTCGAAACCTTCAATTCAACCCAAGCCTTTATTACTTCCAGCAGCACCCAAGACTCAAACAAACCCCAGCGTTCCAGCAAAAACCATCATTATTCAGACACTACCAACACTTATGCCTTTGGCAAAGCAGCAACCAATTATCAGTATACATCCTGCACCCACTAAAGGTACCTGAATGGAATTTGATGCTCTGTATGTTTAATTGGAGGACACTGAGGCATGTGTCATATGATTTGTTTTAATTCAGGTTATAATTTCAGAGCACATGCTGGGTGTGTGTGTCAAGAATTGTCCTTGGCTCTGAGGAGGTTATGGAGATGATTAGTATGTGGTTCCTGTCCTAACAAGGGAAGTAGCTATCCAGATCAATTATATCTGATACTTCTTTTTTCTCACAGTTTTAGTGAAAACACCAGTCTCTAAGGCTTGTGATTTTGTAGCAAAGAAGAAAATCTGGGAAACTTTCTTGATGCTATTGTATTTTGAGATTTTTGTGTCTATGAATTTTTTTTGTTTTTAAGGAGAGGTTAGTATTTAAAATACGATGGTCCATTTCAGGTCTAATAGGTGTGTTTTGACAATAGAATCAGACACTTAAATCTCCGAGGAGTAGGAAGCATTGTTTAATAAACATGAGCTTGTAACAGGGCATTAAATACCTGAACCTCTGACTTCAAGCCATTAAGAATATGTGTTTCTACATTTCGTCCACTAGATGGCCTCGTGTAATTGATTCTATAAGAAGTTGAGGTCTGTATTGAAAAAAATTCAAGTCTGAGGATTTGGTACTTTTCACTTATGGGAATGTGTATATATTTGCCACATATATGACCAACATAGACAGCATATTAAAAAGCAGAGACATTACTTTGCCAAAAAGGTCTATCTAGTCAAAGCTATGGTTTTTCCAGTAGTCATGTATAGATGTGAGAGTTGGACTATAAAGAAAGCTGAGTGCCAAAGAATTGATGGTTTTAAACTGTGGTGTTGGAGAAGATTCTTGAGAGTCCCTTCCCTTGGACTGCAAGGAGAACCACAGTCCATCCTAAAGGAAATCAGTCCTGAATATTCATTGGAAGGACTGATGCTGAAGCTGAAGTTCCAATACTTTGGCCACCTGATGAGAAGAACTGACTCATTGGAAAAGACCCTGATGCTGGGAAAGATTGAAGGCAGGAGAAGAAGGGGACGACAGAGGATGAGATAGTTGGATGGTATTACTGACTCGATGAACATGAGTTTGAGCAAGCTCTGGGAGTTGGTGATGGACAGGGAGGCCTGGCGTGCTGCAGTCCATGGGGTCTCAAAGAGTCGGACATGACTGAGTGACTGACCTGACTGAACATACAGGACTCATTTGCACACAGAGCTCTCTTGGGAAGATTATTCATCATTGTACCTATACTGTTGTGTGTATATATGACTGAAGCGAAACTTGTGCAGCAGTGTTTCCTTGGGTTTACCTTATTGGCACCAAGTAAGACTAGGTATCAATGGGATATGGGTTATAAATAAATACCAGTGTTATACAGTTGTACAGTCTATAACTGTATTTTCAGTTATAGATTTTTAGCTCATTGCTTTGAAGCATGGTTTTAATGAGGGCAAGGCCATGAATTTGATTTCCACGTCCTCTGTTAACTTTGCTCTGTTCCATGGTCATAGAGAGTATGACATTGATATTCTCTTTTTATCAATATGGCATTGATAAAAAGATCTAGGTGAGAGACTGTATGGATCCATGAAAATCCACCAATCCCTTCCAGAAAACCCCAACCAAACAAACCTGAAATACCTGTTCTCTGAGGACAGGGTCAAAATACGGCCTTTTTCATATGAAAAACAGCAGTCCTGTCTAATGGGTATTCTTGTGACCTGTGAATGGATATCATGAACTCCTTGAAATAAAATGCAAGATTAGTGTATATTATTTGTGGATTTTTCTAGGGATAGTCTCTGAAACTTTCATCAGGATCTCAAAAGTGTACATCATCCCAAAGGCTAACAATTTAAATTTGTGAAGAACTTTATTATAGTTTCCATAATCTATTAAAACACATGTATAAAAGTAAAAGTTTGACATTAATATAATCAGTATGTAAAGCAAGAGGTGTTCCTAAGAATTTGCTCTTAGTAGACCACTGGCTGTGTTTGAATGATAGATCTTACCTATAGCGAGAAGAGCCACTTCTCTGAGCAGTTTATCAGTTTCAGAGGCCTGAAGCATACACTATTCAGAACTTCAGTGCTTTCCCATTATCTGAAAACAGTATTTATTTTGGGGGAACATATGCTAATATAGGCCTCGTTACTATTTTTATAGTGTAATCTGCAGAAGTAATCTTGTAATAGCATAACATTTAAATGTATGACTTCCAGTCTTCCATTTATTTGATAATGGGGAGAGAAGAAGAGAAATATAGGAAAGGCATTTTACAGTTAATCGATATAAGTATCAGAAGTAAATATTTGCTATTAAAAAAGTAATTTCTTGTTTTGGCTATACTGTGTGGCATGCAAGATCTTTGCTCCCCACTCAGGGATCAAACCCTTGCTCCCTGCACTGGAAGTGCAGAGTCTTAACCACTGGACTACCAGGCAAGTCCTGCAAAAAAAGAAGTAATTCTTACAGGATTAAGTTCAAATTCTCTGGCTTGGAATGTGAAACCCATCATGGTTTGTCTCCAGTTTAGTTTTCTAACTTTACCTTATAATAATAACTCTCCTTTCTATAAATCTTTGGTTCAACTAATTTGGCTATTGTTAATTAAATTTTCTTGTTTTTCCTAGTTCCTTGACATGCTGTTCAGTCTGCCTTAAATAACTTCTGCCTACTTCCACATCTGTGTCCTGTACATTGATTAAGATTCTTATGACAGTGCAGGTGAGAGAGATTGAAACCTGGAATATCAGTCAGTGAAGATCCAGGATAGACAGTGGAGATGTTAGAAAGTGTAGAATCACAGGGGTTGACAGTCAGGTGATGGGAATGGAAGATGGAAGAAAGGAAAGTATCCTCTCTTGGACTTTTTGGGTAGATAGTGGTTCACATCATTGAAATGGAGGATAGAGGTAAAATAACTTGTCCCACGTTGTTCTATGAATAGAGGCACAGTCAGAACTTGAGCCCAGATGGTCTGGTTCAGAGTCTATGTAACTAATCACTATGCTCTATTGACTGTAAAAGAATGCAGACAAGTGGTCCTTGATCTCAAGAATTGACTAATTGGAAAATTATATTAATAGTTAAATAAGAGTAACTATGAGAACTAATGAATAAATTATACATGAAATACCCTTATGAAAGTTATTATACATAAAAGATGAAGTGCCAGATACCATTCTAAGTGCTTAACTATGTTATTTAATCCTTACATTAACTTTGTGAGGATAGATGCTATTATTATCATCTTCATTTTATAGATGAGAAAATTAATACACAGAGTCAGTCAGTCAGTCACACAGCCATACTATTTCAGACAAAGAAGACATTCAATAAATGTTTGATACAAAGTTTTGAAATCTTTGAAGATAATTGAAAAGGGAGACACTGACTGTCACAATCAGTGATTCATCCAGCAAAAGTATCCAGCATTGAAACCAGCCATGGTCCATGAAAGGGGATTTATGTGTGATGCCAAAGAGGATTTTGAGCATGCTGAAATGGATAAACAGTGTTTTGGTATGCCCTTTTTAACTGTTTCCACATGAGGAACAGTAGTAACTTATGTTCAGCTGCTAACTATTTAAGCCCTGAAACAGTTCTTTGCCTTGCGTTTTGTGATCTGGTGAGCATCAAGCATGTCAGATTTAGCAAGCCACCATGAACACACTGTAATAGAAATTTAGTTGCTTCTCCCCATTTTGTCTTGAACCCAAACATGCCAAGACTATTTAGAGGATCTTTGATTTAGATATTAAATAATTTGAGGTTAGTTGGGCACTGTGGGATGAAAGGGCTTGATGAGCATTTTTTTAAAAAAAGAGGCATCAATGGCCTGGAAGGACTTGGAGCCACATTTGGTATGCAGACCTTGCCTTGATATTGGTTCATCTCCCTTTCTCCATGCTATAGTTCTCTTAGCAAGGAGATGGTGATAACCAGACAATGAACACTACAGACTTGGATTATTTTTTGAATCAATTTTAAGAAATATTACAAAGCCATCTGCATGTGTTATCTGCCAATGCTTTAAATCTGTAACTGGAGCTAAAAGTAGGATTGTTGTTTTGAAATGATTTCACTGTTTATGTTTACCACTTTCTCTGATCTTTGGAGTAATCCCCTAAATTCACTAAGCATTGTAGTTTTGAGGGGTCTTTTTATCATAATTTTTAAACTCAGAAGATGTGGAACATTGCTTCTGATAATGCTCTTTTCAAAGTATTGTTTTAAATCAGTGGTTCTCAACCTGTAGACTGTGGATTCTGGGATATGGGTGGTCAGAGTGGCAATAGCTTTTGGCTTTTCTGTAGGGCATCTGCAAATCCATATTTTCTGTTGACTGAATAAATAATTTGTTTCATATATCTTTGCACTGATTTTTAAATTTTGTGGTTATACTTATGATAATAAATTCCAGATTCATTTCAAATCACTGCTAAATTCTTACTAAACTTTTCTCATCACATATTTTCTCAATTTACAGAAACTGAAAGGACAACTATGATCATCTTGGGTGACCATGATATTTTTGATATTAAAGAAAGGTCCTTAAATTCAGGGTGGGAACCTTTGGTCTGAGTTTTACATTCTTGACATACATGAGTATGTCTTTCATAGTACCAATTAACTGTAACAGATCAGTAAGTGTTTAAAAAACCTAACATTTGGTGATATGCTATTTATTATTATTATTTTTGGTTTTGCAATGTTGCTTGCAGGATCTTAGGTCTTTGACCAGGGACTGAACCTATGTCCTTGGAAGTGGAAGTACAGAGTCCTAACCACTGAACCACCAGGGAATTCTCTATTAATTATTTTTATTTGAATATTTGGCTAGAGCAAATTTATATCTGCTTATAAGTTATTTCCATATTTTATATGTTTTTATTTCATAAAGTAAATTATTCCAAGGAAAAATTAGAAGATAAGGATACTTAATGATCATTTATACTAAATTGTGTATATGATAAATCTGTGAAATTACTTTTAGGTCTTTCTTACTAATTTACTTACTTTTTAGGGATTAAATACTATTGATTCTAGTATGCTTTTCAAGGCCTTTTGAGACAGAAAGACTGATTTTATATAAGTGATTTTTTTTTAAGCTAAGACATGTTCATAACAAACAGCTGTTTGAAGCATTATTTTGATTTTTGGTTTTCCTTGATCCTTTGAAATACTGAGCTGAATTTTACATGGGTCATGTTACACTGTCTGAAAGCATAGTATTTTTTTTCCTTTAAGAAGAGTGTAAATATACAATGGGAAATTTTAGTCGCCAGTTACTTTAGTACCTTTACTTTGCTGGATAGGCTCAGGCAGCTGTGGATGTTAGGTGAGGCTTTCAACACCTTATAAAATTGGCCAGATCTGAAAGCAAACACTCAGCAGACAAGTAAAAGTTTTATTAGACCAGTGTTGGGAGTTGTATGAGCCTTCTTTAGGTTATGACACTAATTCTAAGATTAGCATAATTTTAAAATAAGGTTAAATGTGAAGATTAAGAAAAGACTTGTTAAAAAAAAAAAGAAAAGACTTGTAGACTATTTTGGTGGATAGGGGAGTCAACATTATCTGCAGGTTATGTTAAGTTACAGATCTATGTTTCCCGTGTTAGCTAAGAATTTATCTCAAGTGGTTTTAACATTTTTGATATTTGTAGACTCAGGTTCTTCCAAGTATTGACTTACTGAATCTCTGTCATTTATTTTTGGTGTTGTTTGTATTTCTCAATCCCGTTAACTTAAAATATATGATTCTGTGCTCAGTATAAAAGGTTTGTTCTTTGTAATATGATAAATACTTCTAGCTCTCAAAAGTTTCAGAGGTTAATATTTAGGGAAATCTATGTATAACTTAGTAGATTTAGTATTTGTTAGTTGAAAAAAGTGTGGAAATATATCATTAATCATAACTTCAAAGAGAATGAATTTAAAATGTGTTTTAAATTAAAATGAATTTTAATGAATTTTAAATTCATTTAAAAACACAACAGGGAAAGTCAGCAAGAATGTGTGCTGTTCTTGATTGTGGTTTAATTGGTGGTTTCAAATCGTTTCATGTGGTTTTACCTATTGTACCTGCAGAAGAGACCTAAATGCTAAACAGCTTGCCCCTGCCACAGCAGTTACGCGCCCTCTGATTCCTTTTCTTTTTTCTCTACTGCAGGTCAGGCCGTGGTGCTCTCTCAGCCTGCCGTGGTTCAGCTCCAGGCACCTGGAGTTCTGCCCTCTCCTCAACCAGTCCTTGCTGTTGCTGGGGGAACCACGCAGCTACCTAATCATGTGGTGAATGTGGTGCCCGCCCCTGTGGCAAACAGCCCAGCAAATGGGAAACTTTCTGTGACTAAACCTGTCCTACAAAGTACAATGAAAAGTGCAGGCTCCGATGTAAGTTTTGAAGTTGAGTGCTTTTTTTAAATGCCTGATTTTACAAATGAGAACAAAAAAGAACACTATTTTTGTTTTTCAAATTTTGTTGTATTGTGTTAAATGTGCTAAAATTGCACATCCAGTCTCTTGTGGAAAATAAGGGTAAGGCTTATGTTGTTAGAATCTAAGTGTAAAGGTTTTAAAAAGTCCAAAGTGGTTTGACTAAGAGAGGTATCCATACCTTCCTCTTTAATTCCTTCTTTTGAACCTTTTCATCGCAATACTTCAGACTGTCCCCCCCAACTCAATCATACACTAGTATTTTACAGGATTCTTTCATGTTTCCTGATTGAAATGTTTTTGGCAATGCCTCAGATAAGTCTGCAGACTTCTTTTTGGTCAGAGTTTATATTTAGCTTCTTTCTTAACTTACTGAAGAGTTTTCACCACTGCATAGCAGTGACTTGCTACTGTTAGGAATTCTGTTTCTTAATGATTATTTAGTTTTTTCCCATCTTTGCAAACCTTCAGATTTTCTGTTATAGGGACTTTTGTAATTTATAAATCACAGAAAGTTTCCTAAGATCTGTCACAGCCTAAAACCAGTTGTAGTACTTGCCAGCTAACTCTTGCTTTCTTTAAAAGTGATACAAAATATCTTATGTTATGTGTTAAACAGTAATTGAACATTTTGGGCCTGAAGTTCAGTGAAAGTTAAAATCAAGTAATTAAGTAAAATCAAGTCTGAAAGTGGATTCTCTAAAATCATGACTGGGAAAGCAAAACAAACCCTAAATCTTTCTTTTAAATAAAAGTGGATATTACCTTTTCTTTAGGTATTGCAAAGTATTTTTAAAATCCTGTGAGTTATGTAACATTGTATATCATACTATTGACAGATCTGTCTACTAGAATTTATTAACTGGCAATTCAGTAGCCATTTCGTTGTAGAATCACTCTACTGTTGCATAAACACAGCCAAGTAATCTCCATCAGCAGTATTGTAAAGACCCATAACAAAAGAATATTATCTACTGGAGTAGAACATTTAAATTCTACAGTAATTCCCACAGTTCACATAGGTATTGAAAACTGTGTGCCAATACATGAAGGAGGAACAGTAGTGTTATGTGAGCATAAACATGGTACAGGATTGAGCTTGACTGTTATGTTAGTTTGAGTACTGGAAAAGGTAAGCACACAGTTCTGTGGCATAATACACACTAATGCCTAGTATGTGTTTCAGTTGAAGATGAAATGATGTGAAGCTGAGATTTGCTTTATTTTTATTATTTTTTTTAATTTAAATTATTTATTTTACTTTACAACATTGTATTGGTTTTGCCATACATTGACTTGAATCCGCCATGGGTGTACATGTGTTCCCCATCCTGAGCCTCCCTCCCAACTCCCTCCCCATCCCATCCCTCTGGGTCATCCCAGTGCACCAGCCCCGAGCATCCTGTATCATGCGTCAAACCTGGACTGGCGATTTGTTTCACATATGATAAATTACATTTTTTAATGCCATTCTCCCAAATCATCCCACCCTTGCCCTCTCCCACAGAGTCCAAAAGACTGTTCAATACATCTGTGTCTCTCTTGCTGTCTCTCATACAGGGTTATTGTTACCATCTTTCTAAATTCCATATATATGCATTAGTATACTGTATTGGTGTTTTTCTTTCTGGCTTACTTCACTCTGTATAATAGGCTCCAGTTTCATCCACCTCATTAGAACTGATGCAAATGTATTCTTTTTAATGGCTGAATAATGTTCCATTGTGTATATGTACCACCGCTTTCTTATCCATTTGTCAGCTGATGGGCATCTAGGTTGCTTCCATGTACTGGCTATTATAAACAGTGCTGCGATGAACATTGGGGTACACGTGTCTCTTTCAATTCTGGTTTCCTCATTGTGTATGCCCAGCAGTGGGATTGCTGGGTCATATGGCAGTTCTATTTCCAGTTTTTTAAGGACTCTCCACACTGTTCTCCATAGTGGCTGTACTAGTTTGCATGCCCACCAACAGTGTAAGAGGGTTCCCTTTTCTCCACACCCTCTCCAGCATTTATTGTTTGTAGACTTTTGGATAGCAGCCATCCTGACTGGCATGTAATGGTACCTCATTGTGGTTTTGATTTGCATTTCTCTGATAATGAGTGATGTTGAGCATCTTTTCATGTGTTTGTTAGCCATCTGTATGTATTCTTTGGAGAAATGTCTGTTTAGTTCTTTGGCCCACTTTTTGATTGGGTCTTTTATTTTTCTGGAATTGAGCTGCAGGATTTGCATGTATATTTTTGAGATTAATTCTTTGTCTGTTGCTTCGTTTGCTATTATTTTCTCCTGTTCTGAAGGTTGTCTTTTCATCTTGCTTATAGTTTCCCTTGTTGTGCAAAAGCTTTTAATTTTAATTAGGTCCCATTTGTTTATTTTTGCTTTTATTTCCAATATTCTGGGAGGTGGGTCATAGAGGATCCTGCTGTGGTTTATGTCAGAGAGTGTTTTGTCTATGTTCTCCTCTAGGAGTTTTATAGTTTCTGGTCTTACATTTAGATCTTTAATCCATTTTGAGTTTATTTTTGTGTATGGTGTTAGAAAGTGTTCTAGTTTCACTCTTTTACAAGTGGTTGACCAGTTTTCCCAGCACCACTTGTTAAAGAGATTATCTTTTCTCCATTGTATATTTTTGCCTCCTTTGTCAAAGATAAGGTGTCCATAGGTGTGTGGATTTATCTCTGGGCTTTCTATTTTGTTCCATTGATCTATATTTCTGTCTTTGTGCCAGTACCATACTGTCTTGATGACTGTGGCTTTGTAGTATAGTCTGAAGTCAAGCAGGTTGATTCCTCCAGTTCCATTCTTCTTTGTGAAGATTGCTTTGGCTATTGGAGGTTTTTTGTATTTCCATACAAATTTTGAAATTATTTGTTCTAGTTCTCTGAAAAATACCATTGGTAGCTTGATAGGGATTGCATTGAATCTATAGATTGCTTTGGGTAGTATACTCATTTTCACTATATTGATTCTTCTGATCCATGAACATGGTATATTTCTCCATCTATTTGTGTCCTCTTTGATTTCTTTCATCAGTGTTTTATAGTTTTCTATATACAGATCTTTTTTTCCTTTAGGTAGATTTATTCCTAAGTATTTTATTCTTTTTGTTGCAATGGTGAATGGAATTGTTTCCATAATGAAATTTGCTTTAAAATACTCTATGTGGAGGTGATGAGCACAGAACAGAGGAAGCATGATCAGCAAAAAAATGTTAGTACTCATTGAAGGTGGGTGTGTAGTCTTTCTTTCCTTTTGGTATTTGAGAAGTTTTCTACAATAAGTAGATGAACAATGATAACAAAAATCTAAGAATATTTCATGATATCTTCAACTAAAAAATCATACATCCAACTTTTCAATTAAAAAGTTTTTCACAGGAGAATGATGTTCACAGAGAAATTCTATTTCATTTCTGGTGATTGGTCTGTTCAAATTATGTTTCTTCTTGACTAAGTTTTGGGAGGCTGTGTGTTTCTAGAAACCCGTGTGTTTCTAGGTTGTCCAGTTTGTTGGCATATAACTGTTCATAGTATCCTTTTGTGATTTTTTTTGTGTTTCTGTGGTATCAGTTGTTATTTTTCCTCTTTGATTTCTTATTTTGTTTATCTGGATTCTTTTTGTTTTCTTCTAGGTGAGTGTGGCTAGAGGCTTATTGATTTTATCTTTTCAGAAGACTAGCTCTTGTTTTATTGATCTTTTCTGTTGTTTTTGGATCTTTGTTTTATTTATTTCCTCTCTGATTTTATTATTTTCTTCATTTTGATGACTTTGGGTTTTGTCTGTTCTTTTTTTCCTAATTCTTTTAGGTGTCAGGTTAGGTTATTTGAGATTTTTCTTGTTTCTTGAGGAAAGCCTATATGATTATGAACTTCCCTTTTAGAACTGTTTTTGCTACATCCCCTAGATTTTAGAAAGCTGTGTTTTCATTTTCACTTGTCTTGAGGTATTTTCTGATTTCCTCTTTGGTTTCACTGTTGACCCATTGTTTGTTTAGCAGCTTGTTGTTTAGTCTCCATGTGTTCACTCTTCTCCCGTTTTTCTTACTGTGGTTGATTTCTAGTTTCATACTGTTGTGATCAGAAAAGATGCTTAAAATAATTTCTATTCTGAACAAGGATTTTGAAAATGATTGCTTAAAATTTTCTTTTAATACTTTTTAAATTGTGAATTTGAATGTTTTTTCTGTAATACTCACAAATAAAACTTGCAATAGAAAATATTCAAAGTTGTCTATAGGTAATATGTTTAGGCATTAAAAATATGTATTTTGATTACCAACATTTTTGATTACCAATCATACCTCACTGAGTACCAACATAATCATGTTTCCTCTGTTCTGTGCTCATCACCTCCACATAGAGTATTTTAAAGCAAATCTCAGCTTCACATCATTTCATCTTCAATTGAAATACATACTATGCATTAGTGTCTATTATGCCATAGCACTGTGTGCTTACCTCTTTTAGTACTCAAAATAAACTAACATAATAGTCAAGCTTTAATCCTGTACTGTATATCTATTTTCATATAACACTGCTGTTCCTCCTTCATGTCTTGGCACACAATGTTTTCAGTGTAAAAATCTTAACATATTTTAGTCTACATTCCTAGAATTATAACATTCAATCATGGCATCATCCAGAGGAACATAGCTAGGATGGGGAGACGGTCTAGAAACCATGTCATGGGGAGAAGAATGGTTTAAGGGTTGGTATGATTCAGTCAGCTGAAGAAAAGAAGACTGAAAGTAGAGCCATCTTCTAGAAAATGAAGGTTGTCATGTGGAAAATAGGATAACTGTTCTGGGTTATTCCAGAGGACTCATCTAGCACAGGTGCAGGTAAGTTATAGAAAGTGAAAGTCAAACTCGCTCAGTCATGTCTGACTCTTTATGATCCCATGGATGTACACTCCATGAAATTCTCCAGGCCAGAATACTGGAGTGAGTAGC